GAGTGGAGAAGGACCGGCTAATTTCATACAAGTCCACGTTCACAGTCCTCACCACCGCTCCTCGATTACCTTTGACCTTTAAAAAATAAGACCAGAGAGGACGCAGGAGAGAGGACAGAGGAGAGAGGACAGAGGAGAGAGGACGCAGGAGAGAGGACGCAGGAGAGAGGACGCAGGAGAGAGAAGAGAGGACAGAGGAGAGAGGAGAGAGGAGAGAGGACAGAGGAGAGAGGACAGAGGAGAGAGGACAGAGGAGAGAGGACGCAGGAGAGAGGACGCAGGAGAGAGGACGCAGGAGAGAGGACGCAGGAGAGGACGAGAGGGACGCAGGAGAGAGGACGCAGGAGAGAGGACCGAGGAAGAGAGGACGCAGGAGAGAGGACGCAGAGAGAGAAGAGAGGAAGAGAGGACAGAGGACAGAGGAGAATGAGAGAGGACAAGGAGAGAGGACAGAGGGAAGGACAGAGGAGAGATGAGAAGGACAGAGGCGAGAGACAGATAGAGAATGACAGAGGAACAAGAGAGGACAGAGGAGAGATGAGAGAGGACAGAGGAGAGAGGACAGAGGAGAGAGGAGAGAGGACAGAGGAGAGAGGACGCAGGAGTTCATCCAATTGAATTCAGAAAATCCCATACATTCCCCTCATCTCAATGTTTTGTCATGCTGACATGAATTGACCAGGTGGATAAATGATTTCAAAGAATTCACACATTGTATCCTTAAACATACTACATAATGCCATTTAGATTGGGAATAATTAGCACTGTGACAACCAAACCCTGAGACAACCAAACCCTGAGAAAACCAACCCATGAGACAACCAACCCATGAGACAACCAACCCCTGAGACAACCAACCCATGAGACAACCAACCCTGGTCTCCCCTAATATTGAAATGCAAGATCACCATCTACTGGAGTGCTCCTCCCAGTATTCAGCACAATGGAAGACCCAGCTCCATGTACTGGCATGACTCTACCACTAGAGGGAGTGCTCCTCCCAGTATTCAGCATAATGGAAGACCCAGCTCCATGTACTGGCATGACTCTACCACTAGAGGGAGAGCTGCTCCCAGTATTCAGCATAATGGAAGACCCAGCTCCATGTACTGGCATGACTCTACCACTAGAGGGAGTGCTGCTCCCAGTATTCAGCATAATGGAAGACCCAGCTCCATGTACTGGCATGACTCTACCACTAGAGGGAGTTCCAGCTCCAGTCTTCTGTGTTACTGCTTACTTTTCTCTTTTCTCTTCCAATCCTTTTGCTTTCTTCCACCCCTTTCCTATAGCTTAATTTTTTTGAGTGAGAGAGAGAGAGAGAAATAGAGAGAGAGAAAGATAGAGCGAAAGAGAGAGAGAAAGAAAGACAGAGGCAGACAGAGAGAATGAGAGAAAATGAGAGAGACAGATCCTCTGGCTGAGGCCTGATGGAGAAAGGGAGGAGAGGGAGGAAAATAAATATACAGAAGAGAGATGGAGGAGAGAGGGAAGATAGTGGGGACAGGGAAGAGAGATGGAGGAGAGAGGGAAGATAGTGGGGACAGGGAAGAGAGATGCAGGAGAGAGGGAAGATAGTGGGGACAGGGAAGAGATGCAGAGAGAGGAGATAGTGGGACACGGGAAGAGAGATGCAGAGAGAGGGAAGATAGTGGGGACAGGAAGAGAGATGAGGAGAGAGGGAAGATGTGGGGACAGGAGAGATGTGGAGAGAGGGAAATAGTGGGGGCAGGAAGAGAGATGCAGGATAGAGGGAAATAGTTGTGGGTACAGGAAGAGAGATGCAGGAGAGAGTGAAAATAGTGGGACAGGGAAGAGATCATGTAGAGAGATATGTGGGACAGGTAAGAGAGATGCAGGAGATAGGGAAGATATTGGGACAGGGAAGAGAGATGCAGGAGAGAGGGAAGATAGTGGGGGACAGGGAAGAGAGATGCAGGAGAGAGGGAAGATAGTGGGGACAGGGAAGAGAGATGCAGGAGAGAGGGAAGATAGTGGGGACAGGGAAGAGAGATGCAGGAGAAAGGGAAGATAGTGGGGACAGGGAAGAGAGATGCAGGAGAGAGGGAAGATAGTGGGGACAGGGAAGAGAGATGCAGGAGAGAGGGAAGATGTGGTGGACCAGGTAAAGAGATGCAGGAGAGAGGGAAGATAGTGGGGACATGGGAGAAGATGCAGGAAGAGGGAAGATAGTGGGACAGGGAAGAGAATATGCATGAGAGAGGGAAGATAGTGGGGACAGGGAAGAGAGATGCAGGAGAAAGGGAAGATAGTAGGGACAGGGAAGAGAGATGCAGGAGAAAGGGAAGCACAGTGAAGAGAGAGTATTTTTTATATTTAACCTTTATTTAACTAGGCAAGAATTGACTGTCAAGTTAGTCAACGGGTTTGAGTTTGTCGCAGCCAAAAGTTTTGACTACCCTCAGGGCAGGTACTGTACCCAGGTGTGGACGCATCCCCTCAGGGCAGGTACTATACCCAGGTGTGGACGCATCCCCTAAGGGCAGGTACTGTCCCCAGGTGTGGACGCAGCCCCTCAGGGCAGGTACTGTCCCCAGGTGTGGACGCAGCCCCTCAGGGCAGGTACTGTCCCCAGGTGTGGACGCATCCCCTCAGGGCAAGGTACTGTCCCCAGTTGGACGACATCCCATCAGGGGCAGGTACTGTCCCCGGTGGTGTGACGCATCCCCCTCAGGGCAGGTACTGTCCCCAGGATGGACGCAGCCCTCAGGGCCTGTACTGTACCCCAGGTTATGGACGCAGCCCCTCAAGTGCGGGGTACTGTACCCAGGTGTGGACGCATCCCCTCAGGGCAGGTACTTGTCCCCCAGGGGTGGACGCCTCACCCTCAGCAGTACTGTTCCCATTGGAACGCATCCCCTCAGAGGGCAGTACGGTCCTAGGTGTGGCCTCCTGACGTAACAAGACACACCTTTCTGTCTGGGTTTCTACCTTTAGCCTACTGGGTCCTGCACCAACAGGCCGTGTTGTTCCATGACTGTCACATTCAGTGGTTCTTTCACTTCAAAACCAGGGGGCAGGAGGAGATGGTGGAGAGGGGGGCCAAGGGATGGGGAGATGGTGGGAGAGGCGGGCAGGGCTTGGCTCTTTGCGCGGGGGCAGGGCGTGGCGCTGATGGCGCGGGGTCCGGGCGGGGCGCTTGGTGGTCGCTTGTGTCCTCGGTGGGGGGCCGGGCGGGGTTCTCTGTTGTGATCTGTGGGCCCGGGTCTTGGGCGCCTGGTTTCGCGTTTGTCAATTGCTAGGTCTCTTCTGGCTCGTCTTTCCCGCCGTTGTCTCTTCTTGCGCTCGGGTTGCCTTTCTTTTCTTCTTTGTTCATGGATTGCCTTCGTCGTGCTCTGGTCTGTCATCTTTTGTGCCTGATGGTAGGATTTTGGAGAGGGGTGATGCATGGGGATGGGTAGATTCGGTAAGTAATATGAGAGAGGTATTGGAGATGTGGAGATAAAGTTTTATGGACGGGAGCAGAGAGGGCGAAGAGAGAGAGAGATGGGGTCAGGAGTGAGATGGGTGGAGAGTGTGGGCCGGAGTAGAGATGGTGTAGATGGGGGGCGGATGGAGGGGAGATGGTGTCGAGAAGGTGTGGGAGGAGCAGATAGGGAGAGAGAAGATTAGATGGGGGCAGGGAGGGGATACAGGTTAGATTGCATGGAGGGAAATCAAGGGACTAGATGGGGGGGTTTGGGAACTTCAGACTTTCAGAAGTCATGTATAACCATGATGTTATCTCACATTCTCAAGACTACTTCAGCTCCTCTGGTCTAAAATAATATATCGTCAGATACTAACAAAAACATACATATTTCTGTTTCTTTCTGTCTCTAACTTTTATTGTGTAATTGCTTGGTTTTGTCTTGTCCATCCATAGCGCCTTTAAAAATACACCTTGGTCTCAATGGGAAAAAAAATCACTGCTAAAATAAAGGTTAAATAGATAGACAGTTTCACTTCTGGTGTTGCGGTACAGTAACTATACTGTTAGTGAAAGGCTTGGAGACAACTGAGATTGACAGTGATAACCGTTGACACAGAGAGGAGATCCTGTCTTAACCATCGTAGTCATTACTCGCGCCCTCTCTATATATTGTAGGCAGTATTCCCAGGGCACCCTGAGGCCCATAGAGCCTGCTCTGGTCACAAGGTATGTGTGGGAGGGGTTGGGAGAGGGGTAGGGGAGAGATAGAGAGAGAGAGAGAGAGATCGAGAGAGACTCCCTCCTCTGCGCTCTGCTCTCGCTCTGCGCTCTCGCTCGCTCGCTCTCTCTCTCTCGCGCTCTCTCGCTCTCCTCTTCTCTCTCTCTTCTCTCTCTCTCCGCGCGCGCGCTCTGCGCTCGCGCGCGGCTCTTCTCTCGCTCGCTCTTTCTCTGTTCGCTTTCGCGCTGCGCGCTTTTCTCTCTCCTCTCTCGCCTCTCGCTCGCGCTCGCTCGCTACGCTCTCCTCTCTCCTCTCATCGTCGCTCTCTCGCTCGCTCTCGCGCTCTCTGCTCGCTCGTCCTCGCTCTCGCTCTCTCGCGCTCCCCTCCGCTCTCGTTAGCGCGCTCTCGCGCCTCTCGCCGCGCAGCGCGCGGCGCGCGCGCGCGCGCGTCGCGCGCGCTCGCGCCGCGCGCGCGCGCGCGTCGCGTGCGCGCCGCGCCGTGCGCGCGCGCGCGCGCGCCGCGCGCGCGCGCGCGCTCTCATCTCTCGCGCGCGTCCATCGCTGCCTCGCCGCTCGCGCTCGCGCGACTGCGCTCGCGCCGCGCTCGCTCTCGGGCTTCGGGCGTCGTCGTCGCGCGCGCCGCGCGCGCCGTCAGCGCGCGCTCTCGCGCGCGCTTCGCACTCGTCTGCTGCGCGTCTCCCCCCTGAATGGAAGGGGGGTGGTGTAAGAGAGTAACTGTTATAAAAACCCCCACTCTCCTGTCGCTCCCCTTTCTCTTTCCTCTTGTGCATTTTGGGGAAGAGTGTGTGACCTACTGTGGAGAGAGAGAGAGAGAGAGACTACCCAAGGATGAAGCTGGTGTTTGTGGCTGTGTTAGTGCTCTTTGCGCTCAGCTCTGTGGATAGAGTGGATTCTTCAGCCTACGACAAGATAGTAACACACAGTCGCATCCGGGCCAGACTCCAGGGGTAAGGACCATGCTGGGGACATGGGGACATGAAGACACAGAGAGATGGAGAGAGATGGGGGACATGGGGACATGAAGACACAGAGAGATGGAGAGAGATGGGGGACATGGGGACATGAATACACAGAGGGATGGAGAGAGATGGGGGACATGGGGACATGAGACACAGAGAGATGGAAGGATCGGGACAATGGGTACATGGAAGACACAAAGAGATGGAGAGATTTGGGACATGGGCATGAAGACACAAGAGTATGGAGAGAGATGGGGACAATGGGGACATGGAGCCACAGGATATTGGAGAGGATGGGGGAACATTGGGCATGGAACAACAGAGAGATTGATAAGAGATGGTGGAACATGGGGCAAATTGAACCAGAGCGATGGAGACAATAGGGGACCTTTTGGTTACCAGGGACTGGATGAAAGCTCATGGGGACCTGGTTTACAGAGCTCTGTAGCGAGAGACTAATCTCGCGATCGCGCCGTCTCCGAGAGATAGAGCTCGAGCATCTCGCTCATATAGAGACTGAAGAGCGCGATCTCGCGCGCGCTCCTCCTCGCGCATCAGAATCAGGGGACATGGATATATCTCAAAAAAAGATACAGATGTTCGAGGGTGCTCTTAGGACATAGAGGGACACAGCCAGACCGAAACCCGCACTGCCGCACATCCCGCCGCGCCCGCACAACGCCGCAAGAACAGTAACGCAAGCCCGAAGAAATCACGAACAAAGACCGTACCAGCCCGCCCTCACAGCCTCCAGAACGCCCCGCAAGCCCTCACGCCGCCCCGCCCATGCTCCGTCCTCACCGCCCTCACGCCCGCCCGTGCCTTTTTACCTCTGCCTAGCGCTCTTTGTCTTAGTTTGGGCCGTGTTGGGTAAATTTGCCTCTGAAATCCTCCACCAGATCACCTTGTTGGTCATAGTCTGTTAGACAACTGAAAGGGCTGTTCAGTGATATTAGATCATTTGTATACTGTAGCACAAAGCTACACTAATTCATACAGCCTTCGTATTTCTAGAAAACAGTCTAGAGATGAAGGGCTGTAATCTTCATCGCTGAAACGTTACAGATTGCGTACTTTTCATGTAAAGATAATTTCCAATTGAGCCGACATATGCAGCGTTTACCGTGAATGCAGTGTACACTAACGAGGGAACATTGCCTTTAATTTAAATCATGCTGTAACGCCGAACTTCAGAAGATTTTTAACTGTTCTTAAAACAATGTGATGTTTACCTCCAATACTTTATACTAAGAATATACTTTATTTATACTAAGAATACAGGTTATATATACTAAGAGTATACTTTATATATGCTAAGAGTATACTTTATATATACTAAGAGTATACTTAATATATAATACATTTTTTACTTTATATATACTGAGAGTATACTTTATATATACTAAAAATATACTTTATATATACTAAGAGTATACTTTATATATACTAATAATATACTTTATATATACTAAGAGCATACTATACTCTATACTTTCTACTAAGAAACAGATGGCTAATAGTTACATTGAAGCAATTCCCAGGGATACGTATCTGCAGATGATTTAACAGAATTATGCAGTTTTATCCATCATTTGAAATCATTATATTATTTTATATTATAGTGCTTATTAAACAGAGTAAAAATAATTCCACTAAAACCAAACTGTTTCATAAAGATATCAGGGGCATCGACGAAAACATTGATTCAGAGCCACACGTCTGTCTACAGTAGAAAATGTTTAAACTTTCCCCTGAATGCTAATTTATATATTCACCCTACTCCCTCCCCACACCTCTTCCCCTCTTCCCTACTCCCTACTCCCTCTTCCCCTCTTCCCCTCTTCCCTACTCCCTCCCCACACCTCTTCCCCTCTTCCCTACTCCCTCCCCACACCTCTTCCCCTCTCCCCTCCTCCCTCCCCACACCTCTTCCCCTCTCCCCTCCTCCCTCCCCACACCTCTTCCCCTCTTCCCTAATCCCTCCTCACACCTCTTCCCTACTCCCTCCTCCCTCCTCAACTAATTACATTTTCTTCCTCTCCTTCCCTCCTCCATTTCTCCCCTTCATTCCTTCCGCTCCTTTCCCCCCCTCCTTACTCCTGCCCCCTCCCTCTCCTTCCCCCTCTCTTCCCACCTCCCCCTCTCTCCCAGACCCAATGTGTGTGCCCTTCAGCAGGTGATGGAGACCAAGAAGAAGTACTTCAGTACATGTAGGAACTGGTACAAGGGAACCATCTGTGGGAAGAAGACGTAAGTCACCACCTCTTTAACCTCCTTAACTGTTTTTTTTTTTTTTTGCACACACAAGCAAGCGCACACACACACTCACACACACAAAGGGTTGGGTAGGTCACTTTCGAAATACAATCCGTTACAGTTACTAGTCACCTGTCCAGAATTTTTATCGGTAACGTAACTTTTGGTTTACCTAAACTCAGTAACGTAATCTGATTACTTTCAGTTACTTTTAGATTACTTTCCCTTATTGAAGGACTCCCCCATAGGAAGTTGCCGCAACTATTTCGTTGTAATTTCCTGTCCTAGAGAGGAAATGCACGTTTAGGTTCCACCGAAGAAGAAGGCTACTTATACATATTCATGAATTGGATGTGGTAATTTCCATGTGGAGTTGATAAACATCAACAGATAGGGTACTGACAGCTGTCAGTGTAGCTAGCATGCTAACCTTATCTATATAGCTAGCATGCTAACATTATCTATATAGCTAGCATGCTAACCTTATCTTTATAGCTAGCATGCTAACCTTATCTATATAGCTAGCATGCTAACCTTATCTATATAGCTAGCATGCTAACCTTATCTATATAGCTAGCATGCTAACCTTATCTATATAGCTAGCATGCTAACCTTATCTATATAGCTAGCACGCTAACCTTATCTATATAGCTAGCATCCTAACCTTATCTATATAGCTAGCATGCTAACCTTATCTATATAGCTAGCATCCTAACCTTATCTATATAGCTAGCATCCTAACCTTATCTATATAGCTAGCACGCTAACCTTATCTATATAGCTAGCATGCTAACCTTATCTATATAGCTAGCACGCTAACCTTATCTATATAGCTAGCATGCTAACCTTATCTATATAGCTAGCATGCTAACCTTATCTATATAGCTAGCTAATGTTATCTGTTGTTGCTGGGGCTTTTTAACTACACCAGCTCTACGGCTGGTTCTGGAGCTGGATTTGTCATAAGCATTAATTTAGGGAAAACTTCACCACAGATGGATAGGGGAAACCAGATGGATAGGGGAAACCAGATGGATAGGGGAAACCAGATGGATAGAGGAAACCAGATGGATAGGGGAAACCAGATGAATAGAGGAAACCAGATGAATAGAGGAAACCAGATGGATAGAGGAAACCAGATGGATAGGGGAAACCAGATGGATAGGGGAAACCAGATGGATAGGGGAAACCAGATGGATAGAGGAAACCAGATGGACAGGGGAAACCAGATGAATAGAGGAAACCAGATGAATAGAGGAAACCAGATGGATAGGGGAAACCAGATGGATAGGGGAAACCAGATGGATAGGGGAAACCAGATGGATAGAGGAAACCAGATGGATAGGGGAAACCAGATGAATAGAGGAAACCAGATGAATAGAGGAAACCAGATGGATAGAGGAAACCAGATGGATAGGGGAAAACCAGATGGATAGGGGAAACCAGATGGATAGGGGAAAACAAAAGGATAGAGGAAACCAGATGGACAGGGGGAAACCAGATGAATAGAGGAAACCAGATGAATAGAGGAAACCAGATGGATAGAGGAAACCAGATTGATAGGGGGAAACCAGATGGATAGGGGAAACCAGATGGATAGGGGAAACCAGATGGATAGAGGAAACCAGATGGATAGGGGAAACCAGATGAATAGAGGAAACCAGATGAATAGAGGAAACCAGATGGATAGAGGAAACCAGAAGGATAGGGGAAACCAGATGGATAGGGGGAAACCAGATGGATAGGGGAAACCAGATGGATAGAGGAAACCAGATGGACAGGGGAAACCAGATGAATAGAGGAATCCAGATGAATAGAGGAAACCAGATGGATAGGGGAAACCAGATGGATAGGGGAAACCAGATGGATAGGGGAAACCAGATGGATAGAGGAAACCAGATGGATAGGGGAAACCAGATGAATAGAGGAAACCAGATGAATAGAGGAAACCAGATGGATAGAGGAAACCAGATGGATAGGGGAAACCAGATGGATAGGGGAAACCAGATGGATAGGGGAAACCAGATGGATAGAGGAAACCAGATGGACAGGGGAAACCAGATGAATAGAGGAAACCAGATGAATAGAGGAAACCAGATGGATAGAGGAAACCAGATTGATAGGGGAAACTGGATGGATAGGGGACACCAGATGGATAGGGGAAACCAGATGAATAGAGGACACCAGATGAATAGAGGAAACCAGATGGACAGGGGAAACCAGATGAATAGAGGAAACCAGATGAATAGAGGAAACCAGATGGATAGGGGAAACCAGATGGATAGGGGAAACCAGATGGATAGAGGAAACCAGATGGATAGGGGAAACCAGATGAATAGAGGAAACCAGATGAATAGAGGAAACCAGATGGATAGAGGAAACCAGATGGATAGGGGAAACCAGATGGATAGGGGAAACCAGATGGATAGGGGAAACCAGATGGATAGAGGAAACCAGATGGACAGGGGAAACCAGATGAATAGAGGAAACCAGATGAATAGAGGAAACCAGATAGATAGAGGAAACCAGATTGATAGGGGAAACCAGATGGATAGGGGACACCAGATGGATAGGGGAAACCAGATGAATAGAGGACACCAGATGAATAGAGGAAACCAGATGGATAGGGGAAACCAGATGGATAGAGGAAACCAGATGGACAGGGGAAACCAGATGAATAGAGGAAACCAGATGAATAGAGGAAACCAGATAGATAGAGGAAACCAGATTGATAGGGGAAACCAGATGGATAGGGGACACCAGATGGATAGGGGAAACCAGATGAATAGAGGACACCAGATGAATAGAGGAAACCAGATGGATAGGGGAAACCAGATGGATAGGGGACACCAGATGGATAGGGGAAACCAGATGGATAGAGGAAACCAGATGGATAGGGGAAACCAGATGGATAGGGGAAACCAGATGGGCAGGGGAAACCAGATGGATAGGGGAAACCAGATGGATAGGGGAAACCAGATGGATAGAGGAAACCAGATGGACAGGGGAAACCAGATGAATAGAGGAAACCAGATGAATAGAGGAAACCAGATGGATAGGGGAAACCAGATGGATAGGGGAAACCAGATGGATAGGGGAAACCAGATGGATAGAGGAAACCAGATGGATAGGGGAAACCAGATGAATAGAGGAAACCAGATGAATAGAGGAAACCAGATGGATAGAGGAAACCAGATGGATAGGGGAAACCAGATGGATAGGGGAAACCAGATGGATAGGGGAAAACAAAAGGATAGAGGAAACCAGATGGACAGGGGAAACCAGATGAATAGAGGAAACCAGATGAATAGAGGAAACCAGATGGATAGAGGAAACCAGATTGATAGGGGAAACCAGATGGATAGGGGAAACCAGATGGATAGGGGAAACCAGATGGATAGAGGAAACCAGATGGATAGGGGAAACCAGATGAATAGAGGAAACCAGATGAATAGAGGAAACCAGATGGATAGAGGAAACCAGAAGGATAGGGGAAACCAGATGGATAGGGGAAACCAGATGGATAGGGGAAACCAGATGGATAGAGGAAACCAGATGGACAGGGGAAACCAGATGAATAGAGGAATCCAGATGAATAGAGGAAACCAGATGGATAGGGGAAACCAGATGGATAGGGGAAACCAGATGGATAGGGGAAACCAGATGGATAGAGGAAACCAGATGGATAGGGGAAACCAGATGAATAGAGGAAACCAGATGAATAGAGGAAACCAGATGGATAGAGGAAACCAGATGGATAGGGAAACCAGATGGATAGGGGAAACCAGATGGATAGGGGAAACCAGATGGATAGGGGAAACCAGATGGATAGAGGAAACCAGATGGACAGGGGAAACCAGATGAATAGAGGAAACCAGATGAATAGAGGAAACCAGATGGATAGAGGAAACCAGATTGATAGGGGAAACTGGATGGATAGGGGACACCAGATGGATAGGGGAAACCAGATGAATAGAGGACACCAGATGAATAGAGGAAACCAGATGGACAGGGGAAACCAGATGAATAGAGGAAACCAGATGAATAGAGGAAACCAGATGGATAGGGGAAACCAGATGGATAGGGGAAACCAGATGGATAGAGGAAACCAGATGGATAGGGGAAACCAGATGAATAGAGGAAACCAGATGAATAGAGGAAACCAGATGGATAGAGGAAACCAGATGGATAGGGGAAACCAGATGGATAGGGGAAACCAGATGGATAGGGGAAACCAGATGGATAGAGGAAACCAGATGGACAGGGGAAACCAGATGAATAGAGGAAACCAGATGAATAGAGGAAACCAGATAGATAGAGGAAACCAGATTGATAGGGGAAACCAGATGGATAGGGGACACCAGATGGATAGGGGAAACCAGATGAATAGAGGACACCAGATGAATAGAGGAAACCAGATGGATAGGGGAAACCAGATGGATAGAGGAAACCAGATGGACAGGGGAAACCAGATGAATAGAGGAAACCAGATGAATAGAGGAAACCAGATAGATAGAGGAAACCAGATTGATAGGGGAAACCAGATGGATAGGGGGACACCAGATGGATAGGGGAAACCAGATGAATAGAGGACACCAGATGAATAGAGGAAACCAGATGGATAGGGGAAACCAGATGGATAGGGGACACCAGATGGATAGGGGAAACCAGATGGATAGAGGAAACCAGATGGATAGGGGAAACCAGATGGATAGGGGAAACCAGATGGGCAGGGGAAACCAGATGGATAGGGGAAACCAGATGGATAGGGGAAACCAGATGGATAGGGGACACCAGCTGGATAGGGGAAACCAGATGGATAGGGGACACCAGATAAATAGGGGAAACCAGATGGATAGGGGAAACCAGATGAATAGGGGAAACCAGATGGATAGGGGAAACCAGATGGATAGGGGAAACCAGATGGATAGGGGAAACCAGATGGATATGGAAACCAGATGGATAGGGGAAACCAGATGGATAGGGGAAACC